AATGATCAGCATTGGAAAAGGTTTTCTTGGCCTGGATATTTGTGGATATCCTCCTGGCTGCACTAAATTCCCCAACACATTGTCCTTTTCTGGTATTGTTGTCAAAGTAGTAAAAACAATTGTTCAGGTTGTTGGCATCTCACCTACTCCTAGACTTACTGGATAGTATTACATTGTCTCACTGCCCGTACACGAAGCAACATGTCCCCACAAAGAGTCCCTTGTATTTTTTGAAGGTAGGGCTGTCTGAACACCCACTATAACATTGAAATACCCAAAACATCAGGTATTAAAAAAAGGCTTAAAAGTAAATCAATCTGAAAGAACAGTTTTGTGTTTTATCAGTATAGCATATCATACAGGTATTTCTATTAACCTGTATTCATTATGTGAGATGATTTTGTGATAGGATAGTGATTTGAATCAAATAATAATATATCGTTCACCTAGTTAAAATTGTGCAATTATGACTCACAATCAAATAACTGTTTTTACGAACATTCGAAGTGGAGTTCCCTTCTTGTTGACAGTATTAAGTAACTTTAATACTATAATTTTTTTATTATTTTAGGGAATACGAATTTATATGTTTTCGATGCATTATAGCATTTTTTTTTACATTTGTTTCACTTAGATATTCGCCTTTTATTAGCCATATTAACTTTCCCTCATAGTATTATGGGATACTGAGGGCTGCAAAGCATGCACTTATTATGTAATTGCAACCCAGTCTCACGGCATTTCGTGTAATAGTCACAAAATTAATCTATTGATTCGTGTTCGTTTCCCAATTTTTTTCGTGTCACACAGAACGATTTTAAAAAGCAATGTAAATAATAACAAATTAGAAGGAAAAACATATTTTAAAAAAGTACAGATTTCAGTATTCTGAGGCTCTGAGCCCCATTTCTTTTCCTCGCGGACGTCAAAGAAAGTCTGACATTATACAATTTAAAATAAAAAAAAAAATCGTGGCTTGATATTGAGTAAGAAAATGTTTTTATGAACCACACAGCTTCCGGTCTTCCAAGACCCGACCGGACAAAAAGACGTGGTGCAGGCACGAAACATACTACCAATAGAAATACATTGCTTTTAAAATCGTTCTGTGTGACACGAAAAAAAGGGGGAAATCGTGTTGGTGAACACAAATCAATAGATTACATTTATTTCGTGACTATTACACGAAATGCCGTGAGACTGGGTTGGTAATTGAGCTGCATTTCTCCACATGTTTACTTCCATTAATTCCTATCATACTTCCTCCCTCCCATTTAGTCTTTCTTCCTTTCTTTCTTTCTTTTCAAACAAATTCCAACCTCTTCATTTGTGTGTGTGTGTGAGTTTAGGTACCAGCGGGGGGTTCAATTAATGGAGCAGTTAGCAGTTACCAGGACAACAAGTGGCCTATCCCTCACTTTTCCTTTGGTCTCCTTGGTAACCAGGAAGTAGATTAGTCATGGAGTCCAGGAAGAAAGAAGAAGGAGGGAAGGGGAGGATTAGTGAGGTGAAACGACAAGCCCTCTCTCTTCCTCTCTTTATTTCTCTCTTCTCACCCCTTTTTTCTCTTTTCTAAATTCTCTCTTGACTCTGTTTCCCTGTTTCTGTTGAGAGATGACAGATGTTTATAATCAGAGTTAAATAGAGAAATAGAGCCTTAGCTTAGCTTAAAGAAGCAGGGGAAAACAGCTAGCCTGGCTCTCTCCAAAAAAACATGAATGCCATAATATGAATCTCCGTCCATACTTCTGTGCAGCACTTTAAGAATACAATGACTTCCTGTATCCAACCTCTAATCTAACTCTTGGAAAAAAAGAAGGGTATTTCCCCCAATATTACAACAACTAGTAGAGCTTGGTTCAGCATTCAGAAGCTATACTCATACATATTAACCAAGCACAATTTTAAATATTGATAAAGATAATCTTCCAGCTTTTATTGTTGAGTTCGGGCAAAGTACAATATGGATACCTGAACAAAAAGATTTCCATTTCCATTTATTTTTCGACTTTGAAAAAAAAGAGATTTCAAGACATCACTTCTGGCTCTTGGAAAATTCCAGAGGCATTTGTCTTTGATTACATTTTGTAGACTATATGACATAATATATAGATTAATAAATAATTATACTGTAGGGGTAATGGTGGCCCTGAAGCGGAGCTCAGAAACCACACAAGTGTCTCCAGTGTGACCCGAGAGCCTACAAACAGCCTGAGGAATGTTCTAGTGTGTCAGTGAATGAATCTCTGCCGCATTAACACACTTCCTCTAGACTCCTTTAAACTACAGGAGGTCACTGACCCCGGCCCGTGTGTGTGTGCGTGCGCCTGTGTGTGTGTGTGTGTGTCTGAGGCAGGACAAAGGTCAGAGTTCAGCATGTGTTTTACAGACGATGGAGGAAGTAGATGTGTGAGGTTTCTGGACTCTGGACAGTGTGTAGACATTGCACAAACAAGACAACAATTTCACCTGCCTGACGGAGGAATCTTTACTTTCTGTCTTCTGTCTTATCTCCCCGTGGGTCCTCCACTAACAGATTTGTTTTCGCTACAAACATCCTTTCAAACCAAACCAGTAAATATAACTTAGACTCACCTGAGCAGCTGTTAACTGTGAGTGTGTGTGGCGGAGAAACCCTTTCATCTTCTAAAGTGGTTCCTGTAGCTTGATTAGATGGCGGCGCTCCAGAGTCCTTGAGAAACACACACACACACACACACACACACACACACACACACACACACACACGTATGCACATGCCTTTCTTCAGGGGATTTTATTTTCCCCAAAACATCCTTTAATGAATTATGGTGCTCTGAACTTCAACTTTTGTTACATAATCTCCTTTCACAGTAATTGTACAAATCCTCGTAGACTTTTTACCCTTTTTAAATGATAGACTTACACACTATTATTAAAGTCACACATGTTTTCATGCATCCTGTAAGACATGATCTATCCTAATACTTCCCAGACATTTTATGATGTTTCAATTCTTTCCAAGCATTTATTGTGTTGACTTTTGTAATTCAACAATCACCAGAAAATGTGTCTAAAGTTGTTTCGCTATGAGTAACACGCTATGTTTGACTGCCTTCAGATGTGGGAAATGTGTCATTACTGATCAAAGCACATTCAAGCTACCAAGATGGAAAAACATGTACGGCTGTTGTGAAGTTTTCCTATTGGCATTCAACAGCAGTAGACCAACACAAGGCCTCTGAAGGCAGGAACCTCCTCATTTTATAATCCATCCTTGATGTTTGGCCAATTCTCAACGAGAAGACAAAACTGAAAATGGAATTCAAAGTGTAACATTCATCACAAGAAACGTCCTCATATGTGGTGCAGATATACTGTAAAAAAGACTAAGAAATAAAGGCGGAACAGGTTATTTAGATGGATGACAGCAACTTCCGGTGGATTTAAACTGAAGACAGTAAAGGAGATTATTCTGGTGGAAGGACTGAGTCTTTTATTCTGTGACATGATTCATTTATAGTTGAAGAGAGAGTGTGTCGAGAAGGAATACTAAGTGGACACACTGTTTTTCTCTCCCTCTGTCTCTTACACACTAAGAGCAACACTGACCGACAGCAACAGGAGGAAGAGGACAAAAGTCTGTATGGGACAGTTTGACAGCTCCCAGGGAGAGAGACGAGATTACAGAGGCAGAGGAGGACGGATTATACACAGAGGAAGAGTGACATGCCGCCTTCTGTCTCCTGGAGGTTAAACAGACAAACACACAGTTTCAAATCTCTTAAAAAACTTTAACTTTGAGGCTGTGGTGCTAACAATCTCAAACTTTCAGCATAAGCAAAATATCATAAATGTAATGCTAACATGCAGGTTTCCCCTACCAACAGGCTAAATACACAAAATCTTGACTCAATCAAGGTCCATTTCAGCAAATAGTTTGCTCAGTTGTCATGTTATCAAGTGACCCACTAACTATTTAACTTTAGTGACCTAACAGGTGGTTGTAAAAAAAACTCCACGATAGAGACTGCAAAATGCTCAAGAAAAAAAGTTAGTTGCAGCATTAAGTTGAACTTCAAGTAAGGTTACTTTGTCAAAGTGGTCATTCAATTATTAATTGTTATTCATAAAATGTATGATACCCAAGCAAAAGTTGGCATACATACATTTGGAGAGTGATTATTATTTACAAATAATTTGTGTCCGAATTGGAAAGTCAAACTACAATTTCTCACGCTATTACATGGATGTAAGTAAAACAATGACAAAGACTTGCAAATGTCCAATTCACTCGTCCATATTATATTTGATTTAAATTGTTAAAAGCTGTTAAGTCACTCTGGTTGTTCAAAGTGTAAAATCAAGAACAGAAAGACAAATGATCACTCTTAATAATAAAAGTTACGTGACTGCATATTTACATTTCAAACCCTACTAGTTGTCTTCCTATGCCTGTTTTCTGACGGGCTGAGTGTGTGGCCGTCAATGTGCGTGTTTGCATGTTTGTTGAGGACACCTGTCTGTGTGTGTTTGTTTGTTTGTGTGTTTGAGGAGCAGTCTGAAAGCCCATTCTCTTTGTGGTTTAATTTCCCATTTGTTGTTTAGTCACATGGCGAGTGCAATGATGCAGGAATGTCAAATTGATGATAGTAAAACGAAGCGAAAGAAAATACTTAATTTTGCTTGGAATGATTGGGAGGAAAAGGGAGGAGGAACAGAAAGGAAGGATAAGTACAAAACATGACAATGGAAAGTAAAGTTGAAAGGAAATGAGTAAAAGGACTAATCCATTAAAAAAAGAAAGAAAAGGAACTGTAAATCAAATTGACCAATGGATCAAAACTCTCCCCTTGCCTTTATTTGAGCCAGTTAATTACCCGTGAATGATGTACCCAACTCAAACCCTTCAAAGTAAGCATTGGTAGAAGTTGTGCCCTCCTCCAACAGCCGGGGACGGGCCAACAGAGAGAGGGGGAGGGAGGGAGGGTGAGTGAGATTGAGTTGGAATAGGTGCCTGGTGGAGCGACACAGGGAGAGGACAGAAACCTCGACGCTTCGCTCTCCGGGACTTACAACCCCTTCCTCTAATTCTTGCAACATTTGCCTCCAAATGTCCTTCTTCCTCACGAGTTAACGGTCAATTTCTTATTGTACTAAGATTTGTTTTAGACCTCAAACTTTTTTATTTCAACCGGATCGAGCGAACAGGTGGAGATGATGGCGAGCCTACCGGCGGCGCTCTCCCCGGATCTGCGCACCCAAACGCGGGTCGCGCTGCTGCTCTGGCCGCTGTTGCTGACCTGCGGCACCTTGGCGTCGGCGCAGGAGCTGCAGACCAACGGTCTGAACGGATACAGCCTGCACCCGCCATACTTTAACCTGGCCGAGGGCACCAAGATCTCCGCTACGGCGACCTGCGGAGAGGAGGACACCGGCCGGAGCGTGCAGGACCTGTACTGCAAGCTGGTGGGGGGGCCCGTGTCCGGGGACCCGAGCCAGACCATCCGGGTGAGCTGGGCACAACGTTATAAAAGCCTTACCGCATTTGTTGCTCAGAAGTGAACTATACACTTTATTGGACTCGGTAGACTTTTCATTTTTCAAAATATTTGTTTTAGCCTATAGTGAAAGTTAATGGCAGTCGAGTACCACATATTATATCAATAAGTGTCCAATATTGATGTATTCCAGGGTTGTTTTGTAAGTGATTTTGGCGATTTTAATAGCATTTTTGCATTGTTCCTAAATGCTGAGAGTGTGTTTGGTTCTCAAAAGTGTTACAATGACTAATGCTTCTATAGTCTGTCTGTATGGTAGCATTAAACACCCGTGGTATTGCTTTCAGTTTATAAACGACCTATAATGAGCCTATTGACCCTATTTCATAGCGTCAGTCTTCTTTAAGGACTTAATTGTATCAGATTTAGGGAATGTGATGACATTTGTTATCCCACTGGTGTCACCGATATTCTCTTTTTATAGTATGCTTTTAAAATGTACTACACAGTCTCTTGTGTACCATTTTTACTGGTGTTTTGCAGCAGTATTTTGTAAGTCTTCCACCTCCAAACTGCATGTTTCGCTCCAGTTGTGTTATGTTAGACTTGTTGCGGATGCCAACCTACACACTTGACTGCTCTCAGAGTAGAGAGTTGAACAGAGGGGGTCAGCAGTGTGCATGAATCTCCAACTGCTGTGCCAAGTCATTATTTCATGCACTGCTTCCTTTGTAGGACTTGGCAACGCTTAACACAGGCCACTTATATAAGTACAGGCAGCATTTCATTCAAACTCCACACAAATTCAGCTAGTTTCCACATCATGCCTGAAGTTTCACGTGAGTTTTATAAATGAGTTTGTAATGGGATGATGAGGCTTTTAAAACCATTGTGTGTGTTTGATGTTTAGCCCTCTAGGTATCACTAGTTAACTCACAAAGGAGTATTGCAGTCTCATGGGTTAACCATTAAAGAAAGCCTCTGGGCGGGAACAGGCAGGCTTATTGCCTTCTCTCTCCTTCTCTCTCTCCCACCTGTTTCTCGCATTCCTCCCAGGGACTGACCCGTGTCCTCCAATCGGACCGAGTTTATCCGCTCTGTTACCGCGAGATTATCAAGACCTGAGCGCTGCTTCCTCTTGTGGTGATGGTCGTTTTTTATAAGACAGAAATGAACTAAGAAATTCGGTCATTTCCAAATCCTGGCTGATGATGAGTATTGGCAAAGGTAGTAGAAGTTACCTTTTGAACTGAAATTAAAAGAGATCAGACAGTCGAGATATACATACACTTAATACTGAGAATGAGCAGCAGGCAGGCTTAAGCGTTGTTTGTTTGTTAAAAGACGAAGGTAAACAAAACCCCAAACAAAACATTTGCCCTGAGGGGTTGGGGGCTTTTCAAGATTCCTTCAAGCTTTCAAGCTGTTTTATTCAACTTTACCTTAAGAACTACAAAGCAATACAATAATCCCACCTTAGATAAAAGAAAGAAAGACATAATTATATACTTTACTCAGTAATTATCTTCAATCCAGCTGGTGAATTGGCACTATAGTAACCTGCTTGATCTCGACCACATTTGACCCACTTCAGCTTCTCCACTCTGAAGATTAGAGCAAATATTCTCTGAGTGTTTTTCTCAGTCTTTCTCTCTTCTGCCTGCTCAGGGCAGGTGGTTGAAGTGGTACATAATTAGCTCAGGAAATCTCCGAAATGAACCCAATAAATCTGGCCATTAGCTCAGGGATTGGTGCTTTATGTGTCAGGGGAAAGAGGTTTGGCCCACTTTGCTGGGCTATTGTGGCTTGGCCCACTTGTTGTGTTACTGCACCCCCTGAAAACACACACACACACCTTACCAGAAAACACAGACACTTCTGTGTTGAAGTTAATCCTGTTTTGATTGGACAGCAAGACGTGAGTGTGTTTTTATTCATTAAAAACAGCAGGAGGAGGACTAACGATGGAGGGGGGGTGTGTGTGTCTGTTTTAGGTTGTAAACTAGATTTTTTTATGAGACTGGATGTGCTGAAGTGGTTGAGTTGTATCGATAAATGCAGCTTTTTATTGGATGTTTGATGCTGCTGTTGAGAGGACAGCTCCTGAGCTTGGTCACTAGTGATTGTACCAGTTAGCAGAGTTAATTCTGCAATTACTGATGATTGGCTTGTGTCATTGGGAATTTAGTATGTTTTTGTAAAAACAAGTGCATTTTCTCCTCAAAATGCACCTTTTAATGTGGCTTTTTGCCATGTAAGATAAAAGCAGGAGAAAATGAGACAGAGAGATACAAACCTTTATGATGTAGAATGAGTTCGAGGAAAAACAAGAAAAGCTGTGCATTATGTTGAGAGGGGGAAAATAGAATTCTTAAAGTGGCAGGTGTTGACTGACGAAACTTTGTCTGTCTCTGAGTGAGGAATCTGTGTCCTCGGGGCAGTGCTCGAGAGTTTTCTCTCAAAGGTTAAGGAAAGGAAAGAAATGGTAAGAAAGATTGAATTAAAGAGTGTGTAATACACAGAGAGAGAGAGAGAGAAATACACTCCACATGTTCCTTTCCAGGTGGCCTTTTAAAAGGAAGTGCCTGGACATGTCCTGTGAAAGAAAACTGAGAAAAGGAGGACAGAATAGGGTGAAATGGAGTTTGACAGCCACACTGAAATACAGAAGTAGCCTTCCTGACATCTCACTAAAACACCTACTTTTTTCTTTTCACATACCTCGGGTAGAAAGCTTGGTTATTGTTAGTTATTTTAAATCACTCAACCTGGGAAGCAGCTTCTCATGATGTGAATCATAATTATCTCTGCGTTCAGCCTGTGATTGGAGGGGATTTCCTTTCTTCTTTTAAGGTTTTCTCTGAAATGCTCTGTGGTCTACAATTTTCCCGACAGCATCAGAGCAATTAGTACTGAAAGAGATATTTAGTTGATTACAAGTACAGAGAGAAAGAAGAATGCCACAGAGAGACTGTCAAAGGGGGAAAGTGAAAAATACGTTTTGAAAACAAAATTACACATTTAAGAAGTGTGAAAAAATACCAATCATTTCACAGAAAGAATATATTTGTATCTCTAAGAGTGTCCAAAATGTGTCACTTAGTGGAGTATGTGATAAATTGTAATCTCAATGAGTCATTCATACATATTCATTCAATTATTTACTATAATTGCTAGAACTTGCTCTCAAGAGAGCTTCATTTGTCACACTCTTGTTCAGGGCATTTATGCGAGTTTGATAGCCGTAATTTGTAGTGTCAGTTAAATCTGAAAATAAATCCAAATGTAATTGGCTGTGGCGAGATAATAATAATTAAACCTAATTTGTCACTCAATTGACTAATTGGAGAGAATGATTTGTAATTTACGTTTCTACCAAATTGTTGATTGACAGATTGATTGATAGGTGATATTTGGGAAGTGTGGAGAGGAAGACGGAGGACAGGGGAAGGCTTTTTGGGCGGTGGAGTGAGATAGAGAGCTGTGACCTCTGACCTCAGTGACCTGCAGTGATAACATCTCCTAACCTGGGCTTTTGTTCAGGTCCACGCTTGTTTAGTTTATGCTAACGCTTACATAGCCAGAAGTGGCCAGGGTTAAACGCTCCCACAACTAAGAGGGATTAGCTCAGAATGAAGAGAGGCTTGATAAACCAAATGATTAGAGAGGACACTTAAAGTGGACATGTCCACCTCTGCTTTCGAGCTCATTTTTAAAGCATACAGCAGTGATTTGGATTTCATAACATGTTTACCAACCAAGGTTAGGTTGGTTGTTGATGCTGGTGAACATCATGACAGGTTTATTGTTGTTCAAGTTATGTTGTTGTTGTTGTGTGGCAGATACATTAATGGCTGCTTTAGTGGTTATAAATGGCACTAAACAGGACAGGAGGGCAAGCTTTTTCTGTGGTTTTGGTATTAGAATGTTAGTTTAGCGCAACACAGTCAGACTGAGGAAAATTAACATTTATTATGACACACTTAAACCTCTACTGGCAGAAATACAAGAAGCTAGGGCCTCACTGTTAAGTAACCTGAGTGGAGTCACCTCTCTGCTGGAATATAAGAAACATGACCCAGGTGGCTTCAGGGGGAATGATTGAATCTTTTCTTTTCATAGAAGTTTACTGTGACTCAAAAACATTGTGCTGCTGTTTTTGGTAGTTTAGAGAGGAAAGTGAGGAAGCTTCATAGTGTACATTTTGCAAGAAGGATGTTCACAATGAGACACATTTAAAAAATGTTTTCCTCATGGTCAAGTACAGCTTTGAATTTGATACTGGACACCGTAAGGTTTCAGATTTGGAGCCTTATGAACACCTCATATTCTCAACTGAAGTTTGATAAATCTCTGTCTCTGTCTCCTCAGGGCCAATACTGTGACATCTGTAGCCAGGGCGAGAGCGACCGCGCCCACCCCATCACCAACGCCGTCGACGGGACGGAGCGATGGTGGCAGAGCCCGCCTCTGTCCCGCAACACCGAGTTCAACGAGGTCAACGTCACCCTGGACCTGGGACAGGTAGGATCCATTAGATATACGTACGGAAACATACGTGTCATTGTGCTGCTTTTTACTCGATCTCTACTGTGTGTTGTACTCTTCCTCTACTGTACATTTTACTCTTCTCACTACAGTATGTTTCACTATTCCTCTGCAGTTTGTTCAGTATATTCCCACATCATTTCGAATTTTAAATGAAATTATTGATCTTCAGACTTGATCTCTGGTTGTAAACAACAACATCATACATTTAAGCTATTTATTTTAAGGTTTATTTTTAGATATTTTTGCCTTTATGACGTGCAACATAGTACTCAGAGCTGGAATAAAACTGTTTAGACAGTGTGCTCTGTAAACATTGGGCTACAAAGCTTTCCAATCCACATACTATTCTGGGTGATGTTGTGTTCTCTTGCAAAACAGTAAAAGTCACGATATTCTTTGAAAGTGTGGAAACGTTGCCATTCTGTCAGAAATAATGCTAAGATGTCAAAACGTAAATAAATGTGAGCCCACTAAGTGGTTTAGTTTCTCAGTGATGAATCAGCCTCCTAAATCCCTCTGTCCTAAAAGAAAAATCGAGTTGATTTAGAGAAGTTGTTTTTGGCTGCAGCTTCTGTCTGCTGTAGTAGTGAATCTGACAAAATGACACACACACACACACACACACACACACACACACACACACACACACACACACACACACACACACACACACACACACACACACACACACACACACACACACACCTACTCTGCTGACGTAGAATTAACAATGCCATTGTGGGATTTATACATCGATACACATTAGACCACGACACGCAGAAATGTTAACACTAGAGAAGCTGGAACTACACACACACACACACACACACACATGTTTACATCACTTCAGGGGACATTACATTGACTTACATGCATTTCCTGGAGACTTATCCTAACCTTAACCATAACCAACACATGCCTAACCCTAACCATGTCTTCACCCTAAAATTAATGATTCCCTTCATGGGGACCTCCATTTTGTAATAAGGGAGGCGAGTCCCCACACGTGACTGTGTAAACAGATTTAGGTCCCCACAAGGATAGTAATGCTAGGTCACACACACACACACACACACACACACACACACACACACACACACACACATAGAGATGTTTAGCACACACAGTCAGGCACTCACACAGTATAGAAAAGCTTCAATCTGCCTCCACGTTAACCTTTTTGTGTTTTTTGAACGTTGCTCTTGAACAACCTTTTATGTTTCTCAATGCGATTCTTTTGTGCCAGCCTCTCCTGCTCGAGTGCCCTCCTCATTCAGCAGCACTGAGACATTCACTGTGTGTGTGTCCGGTCTGGTCTGGTGTGTGTGTGTGTGTGCACTTGACAAGAGTATTTTCTGTCATGGCATTCAGTTTCCCCATCTCTCTTCCATCTGTCCTCCCTATTTCCTCTCTCTTCACCACTTCCCTCCCGCTTCTCCTCTCTTTTAAGGTTGAAGGTTTCAGTAGAGAAGCTCGGAGCTGTCACTGTGTGTTCTGCTGGTAAAAGCTTTTATAAACCTGTATGCCTTTTTGACAGGGATGAAAGAATTAACACAACTTTTATTTGGGGATTTTCTCCCTTTCATGTAACATCGCAAAACAATTGACATCAATTGGATGACAGCGATGCAAGTCACCTGCAGTGTTATTTGGGACAGGATTGTTTTGCTATAATAATACAGTACTAAGCAAGCACTTGATAAGTGGCAACATGTAGGGAATAAACAAAGACATTAGCATTTGTTGTTATATTGGCTAACTCTGTATATCTGTTTTATAATGAAGTTACTTGTTTGTTGCAGCATGCCTTTTAGTGAAAACGACTTCTTGTATGAGCTTACTGATTATGAAAGAAAAATACGTTTTATCTTCATCTGTTAAAAAATGTTTACAACCAACATTGCAACAAAACGTTTTCCGGGTGGCATCGAGGCCTAAAAGATAGCTGAAAGAAGAGAGATAGAGAGCGAGGGGAAGAGAGAAAGGGGGAGGAGGGGGAGGGTCTCTAGTTACCAGGTTGCCGTTTTGTCTTGAAAGAATGTAGGTGGGCTAAGGCCAGGGTTTACAAGAGGGTGTGTGTCAGGGCTCAGAGAGAGTGTGTTGAAGACCCCTACACACACACGCACATGCACACACACACACACACACACACACCCCTACCTCTGCTTGAATGAAAGAGAGGGAGAGATTGGAATGTCAGTTAACCTGTCTCAACCTGCAGAGGGGAGGCTTTTTAAATTACCTCCAACTCTTCTCTCTCTCTCTCTCTCTCTCTCTCTCTCTCTCTCTCTCTCTCTCTCTCTCTCTCTCTCATTGGTGTAAACCATATCATTTTCTTCCCAGGAAGATTTGCCCCACTTTGCCAGTGTCACAATAAGGAAGGAGAGTGTTTGTGTTAATTGAACAAATTAGATGAACCAACTTAATTAGTGAGCTTCAGAGATCTTTCTGATAAGATAAGCTAGTGAGCTAAGCTTGTTGTTTAGCATACAGAGTGGAATAGTTGTTCTTATCTAAATCCCAGCAAAGTAGCTAGGGATGTCCCGATCACCTTTTTTTGCTCCCGATCCGATTCCGATCATTTGATTTTGACAATCTGCCGATACCGATTTTTCCCGATCCGATCTTTATGCAATGCATTAAGAGAAAAAAAAGGTAACAGATAACGGCTGGTCATCCAACGCGATGAATTCAGCTATCTTGGCTGTTATTTTTTTGGCCTTTTCACTGTTCTGGGGCAGTTTCTCTTTCCTTTTAAAAGTCTCTGAAAGTGTTGGTTGTTTCAGTGCCGTTACCTGAGTGGCCGCTGTGTACTCGTCGTGTTGTTGTTGGTGTTTGTATTAGATTGGTCGTGTTGAACGTAGCTCTGTTCTTTCCACCACGCGGAACCTCCGCCTTGCAAACATTGCATATGGCTGTTACACTGCCTTCGCTTTCAATTTTATAATACTTCCAAACTCCTGACATTTTCTCTGTCCCGACTCCCGAGTCACCAGCTGAACGTAGCCTCTTGTTAGCTTACTGCTACTATTAGACACTGCGCCCACTCTGTTGCCAGATTTGAGAGAAATAAGCAACCAGGTCTATGAAAACAAGCCCAAAAGAAGCAACACATACATGATGTTGTGTAATTTTAAACCAAAACTAAGGCCTCAGGATGACTTTAAGACATGGTCATTTTTGTTTTGTAACATTAAATAAAATAATAAAAATATTTTATAAAAAAAAAAAAAAAAAAAAAAAAATTCCCGATCCCCGATTTTTTTCTCCCGATTCCGATCTTTTGAAAATCACGTGATCGGCTCCGATCCCCGATCACGTGATCGGATCGGGACATCTCTAAAAGTAGCATAAAATGGCCAACTGTTGCTTTTAAGTTTATAGATAGTATTCTGGCCAGAAATATGTGGACACCCTGAATATCTTGTTTCATTTGGACTCAGCTACCGAGTTTGAAATGATTCAAATTGTAATGCACAATAACATTTGAGCAACTTTAGGGTAGAGATTTGGGAAAGTCCAATTTGGTGTGGTAGAAATGGACTGGCCTGCACAGAGAGCGGATCTCAACCTTATCCATAAACTGGATTGTCAACAGTAAGCCGGACCTGATCCCCAGACATCAGTGTTTGACCTCAGTGTGGCTGAACGGGCAAATCCCTGCAGCCAGGTTCAACATCTGAAGGAATAGATACCAGAACAGAGGAGCAGCAGAATAATGCCTTTAGATTGAGAATCAAGAGTTCAGCAGTCAGGTGAGTATGTTCGGGTGTCCACCTACTTTTGGCCATGAAATGTTTACGTTTCTGTATTTCTCTTTAATTAAATGTAAAAACTATTATGATTAAAACACTACTATGAGACATTTTCAGCGAAACACCTAAAGAACACCGGTGGGAACATTAGTCCGAAGTGCTTTCAGGTCAATGCCATTTCATGATGAGAAGCAGCCTCAACAACTCGGAAGAAAAGAACAGATCAGTTCACCATAATGTTTCATTAAGTTGGCAGTAAATAAACTTTACTCTCAGTACATCGGAGCATTACTGCAACAGGTGTACCAAGCACAGACTGCACCCCCCCAACACTCAGTTTATGAAACACATCTCACTGGAATCTGAAGATTTCTCTGCAGTATCTTTAAAGAATGCTGCACCTTAAATGACTTTTGCCTATATTTATATATCTTGTCTAATACCTTCTTTATCTTACCTACTTCATTATGTGTCAGACTTTTAAATGAGGTGTATCAGTTCACACACTTCTTCCTCTCCTCCTCCTCTCTTTCTATATCTGTAGCACTTATTTTGCATATCTTAAGGATAACACGCAGCCCGATATAGACCGTCTCCTCTACCTTCCTGTCTTCTTTCTTCTGCTATCTCCTGCTCTCATACCTCTTCATCGTTATCATCTTCCTCATTACCTCGGCTCTTTATCTTGCTAGTCCTTTTCCTGAAAAGTGAGAACACACTCTTTCCCCTCTTTCCCTTTCTTGTCTTCTATATTGTGACATCTTTCCTTTTATGATACATATTTGAATGTGTCAGTTCAACTAAGGCAACCGAAGACAACTCAAAACGCATGCAAAGAAGTTGCCATTTTAATTTGAAATGCACAGGTGTCTAAAAAACAGCACTATACATAGTTATAGTTTCTATATATATATATATCTGTACAATGGGGATGTCAGGGAAGAAGGAGGGAGAAAGCGATGGAGGAGGAATGACAGCTGCATGATGAACTGCAAGAAGAAAACAAAACATCTGATGAAGTCATATAGCTCAACACAAGTCACCATTGTCTTTATCTAGGCTGATGTGATGTGTTTTCACTCTATGCAGAGATGTGTGTTTTGGTGCAGTCCTGAGGTATGTGATAGTGGAAAGGATTCTGTAATCACAGGTAAAGGGGGGGGGGGGAGAGAGGGAGGAGACCAATAATAGAGGGAGAAACCCAGTATGAAGGCAAGG